TGCTTACGTAGGGGGCTGGGGAAGCTTGTTTGCTGGCAGCCCCCGAGGCCTCCGGCGGGGCTGGCCTGTGCTTCTCCTGCTTGGCCCGAGGGGAGGACTGGGGCCCCAGTAGGGCCTGCATGACCCTAATGGCCCCCACGGTTCCAAGGAGCCCCCAGAGCAGGGCAGGGGCCTCCAGGGGAGACAGCTGTTTCCGCATCCAGCGGAGCGCCTGAGCCAGGGTGCTGCTGGAACTGCGGACCCGGGGCGGGCTCTTGTCCTGTTGGGGGGCGGTGTGGAGGTGTGGAGTAAGGCCTGGGCCCACCCCTGCCACCCACCCCAGGCTGGTTGACGCCTTCCCACCTGAAGGCCAAACTGCTGGAGCAGCATGTCCAGCGTCGGGTCCCCCAAGGACACGGACGGGAAAAATTCCTCCACCCACTGGCGTCGCCACCACTGGCTGCAACAGCACGGGGCACTCAGGTGGCGCCAGTGCGCAGGCCCCGCACCCCGCCTGGCGCCCGGCCTTACCCCTGCTCCCCGGGCTTCGAGAACCAGTACTTGTAGCGCTGGGCCCGCACGTAAGTGGGCGGCTGCTTGTGGAAGGGGTACCTGGGCGCGTGGTTCTGGATGAGGCGGATCACTGCGAGGGGCGGGTAGCTCGCTCAGCACCAGGCAGCTCCCTCAGCCTGGGCCCTCCGCGCGGCCCCGCCCCCCGCCCCCCAGGCCCCGCCCCTCCCAGCGACAGCTCCAGCAGTCCTGCCCCCCAGGCCCCGCCCCTCCCAGGGACACCTCCAGCAGCCCTGCCCCTGCAGGTCCCCCCAGACCTCCCTGTAGGCTCCGCCCCACGGCCCGGCCTCACCGGGCTCTTTGCCCTGCAGCAGGCGGAGGACCAGGCTTGTGAACCAGGGACTGTGCGTGTGCGGGCCCAGGGCCGCGAACCACATCTGCCAGTCGAGGCGCGGCTGGTGGGGCACCACAATGGGGGGCGCCCGGCTCACGTTACCGGGCTTGTACATGAACTCGATTTCCTGCTGGGCAGAGTTAGGGTTAGCCTTGTCAGCAGGACCTGGTTTCCGGCTCTTCCCCCCAACCCCATGCCTGTGGGCTCCCCAGCCCCGTGGAGCCCGTCAGGTGCCCCAGACAGGGGCCCCAGGGAGCTCTCACCGTCCAGTGGTGCCCATCATAGCTGCCCTCGAGCACCACCTCGGGCCGTCCACCCAGACCAGTCATCCGGCGGAAGAGGCCATAGGAGTGGGCCAGTTGCAGGTGCTCCACAGTGCCAAACAGGTGGTGGGCCCCAGTCCAGAGGCGCCCATGGGTCGAGGGCTCCATGTAGGAGTATGGCACCTAGACACAGGTAGGCAGAGGCTCGGCAATGACCTTCCAGCCCTCTCCCGACCCCCTACCCTGGCCGCAAGGGACTACTCACCAGGCTGATCATGAACAGAGCCACCGTGGCAGTGCCAAAGATGGACAGCTGGACCGCAGCACAGAACTTCTGTAGCCAGCCTCGCACTTGCGTCCACCTGGGGGGCAGGGGACCGAAGCACAGTCAGGCCTGCTCTGCACAGCCCTACCCCACCCCCTTAGACCATGTACCTCCAGAGGGCGGTCAGCAGTTCCCAGGCAAGGGAGGCTGCACCCAGCCACATGGTGGGTAGGGTCACCATCTTTAGCCACTGGGAGAACTGGTGGAAGGTGAAGGCTGTGGAAGGAAGGGGGCGTGAGGAGGGATGGCCCAGCCTCTGCCCTCTGAGCCCCCAGCTGGCACTCACTGGTCTTGGAGTGAACAATGCGCTGCTTCCAGTCCACCTCCAGGCCAAAGCAGTGCACCACGCCGCAGGCCAGCAGCCCGTAGACGGCCAGCTCCAGCAGCAGAGCCAGCAGAGCCAGCAGGGCCTTGGGCCAGGCTGCAGGGCAAGGCAGTCACGGGTCAGTCGGGAACAGGGCTGGAGGGTCTACAGCCGGGGGGCTGGGGCGGAGCTAGAGCAGGGTCACTTGGGGGGTGCTGGCAACACTCTGGCGGGCAGCAGGGGTGAGGACGGCTGTCTGTCCGGGACAGGCTGACACTCACAGGTGGGCGTCTTCTTGCGGCGGCTGTTGCCAGACGCAGCGGCCAGGTGTGTGTCATCCAGGAGGGCAGTGGTGAGCACCAGGGTGAGCAAGTTGAAAAAGTTATAATTGCCAGTGACGATAATCAAGACTTGCAGCAAGACCTGGGGAGGGGCTGGACTCAGAGCCTGCAGGCACTGCCCCCTTCCTGGGCCCTTCAGAGCCTACTTCCAGGCCCCTCTGCACCATCGCCCCCCCCCAGCCCCACCTAGATCTCTCCTGCAGGCCCCTGTGCCCTCCTCGTCACTGCACGCAGGCCTCTGTTTTCCCACTCCGCCTGTCCTCCCGCTGGGCTCACAACTTCCACGGCTCCCCACCACCACCTGGAGAAAACCCGAGCTCGGCACGCCTCGTGCGGCGGCCCTTCCCCACCTGCCCCTGCTGACCCAAGATGGACATCCTCCAGCAAGGCTGAAGCCCTGCCCCACAGGCATCCCTTCAAACTCAGGCTGACTCGCTCCTCTGCCCATGAGGCCTTTCTGACTGCTGGCAGCAGACACTCCATCCCCAGTGGGACCCTCTGGACAGTGCAGAGGAAGGCCACGTCCTGCCTGTCTTCCAGATGGCTAAGGCCCCCACCCACCTGGGAGTAGAAGGCAGCCAAGCGCAGGCGGCGAACAGGAGCGAAGAACAGAGGGGGCACTGCAACCTCGATGAGGAGAGTGGCCACCACGCCGAGCTTGTGCAGCCAGACGGGCAGATGGTGGGCAAACCAGGAGGCGGGCGTGGGCAAGCACTGAGTCTCGAAGTGGTAGGTGAGGGCTGCGGGTGACAGGCGGGTAGTCAGGGCTGGGCAGAGCCCCCAAGACTGCCCCACGTCCAGACAGGGACCTCACCGGTGAGCCCCCACCACGCGGGGCAACGGCTGGTCAGCTTGACCACACCCGAGGCAAACATGAGGCGAAACAGCAGCCAGCGCACAAGCCAGAAGGGGAGGTCTTCGTGGGGCAAGACCCCTGCCAACCTGCCCTGGGCCTGCTTGTGGCGCGGGGGCAGCCTCAGAGGGGCCACCAACAAGGCCAGAAAGCCAGTCTCCAGCAGAAGGGAATCCCTGTGGGGGGAAAAAATAGCACAAAGGACCTCCTCCCCATCAAGGCTGCCCCCCTAAGGGGGTCCTCCCGGGAGAGGCAAACACACCCCACCCCATCCCACTCACCCAGCCTCCTGCAGCCCCACACCCAATAGTCACTCACCACTGGAAATAAAGAAACACCTGGCCCACCTGCAGGGAGAAGGGCTGTCAGGGAACAGGGGGTGTGTCTGCAAAGGCAGGCAAGGCAGAGGCAGGGGTGGGGTGGAGAGCGCATGGGCCTGGAGCGAGCTGGAGTTAAGGGTTCCAGTGGTGCAGGGGGCAGCAGGCAGCCCTCACTTGCCTGGTAGGCAGACAGGTAGGCAGCCCAGAGCAGCAGGTAGACAAGGAGGTGGCGCAGCTGGTGCAGCAGCAGGGCTCCCAGGGCCAGCAGGGTGCCCAGCAGGCTCAGCAGCTCCAGGCCCTGTGCTGTGTCCAGCCCCAGTAGCGGAGTCTCCCACAGCAGCGTTGGGGTCTCCCACAGCTGCGGCCAGCGTCCCTTTCCCTGTGGCCGCAGTGTCCTCCGTGCAGGCAGGATGCCCTCAGGGCCGTACAGGCCTGTGAGAGGGCACGTCAGGGCCAGGCACTGGACACTGCCCTCCAAGGCTTGACTCCTCCCACCAGTCAGGGCCTTCAGACCCACCTCCCCAGGTCAAGCCCTGCAGACCCCCCCCCCCAGTCTAGGTCAGAACCTGCTGACTCTACCTGCTCACAGGTCAAGGCCTGCTGACCCTCCAGCCCCCCCCCACCCAGGTCAGGCCCCAGGCCTACCCGACTCCCCCAGGTCAGGACCTTCCACCCGGCATGGCCCTTTTCCCCCTTCCTCCACGCCAGAGCCTGTTCTCCTACCTACCCACCAGGTCTGGGCCCACCCCCCTCAGGGCTCTGCTCCCCCTCCCCAGGTCAGAACCCAGAACCCTACTGAAAAGGGACCCTTGTACGCCTTCCCACTGCCCACACCCCCGCGGCCCGCAGGACACAAACCGCAGCCCCCTACCCCGTGCATCAAGACCTGGACCTCACTCCCGCCCCCAGGCAGCGGAGTGTCGGGTGGGGAGATGAGGGGTCACAGGGCGCGGGTTGGGGGGGGGTCCGCCTTCGGCGCCCTCACCCGGGATCTGCATGTAGAGGGAAGCGAAGGCGAACATGAAGACGGCGGCCACGCCCTGGAGAAAGAGCTGCCGCGGGAGCCGGGGGCCAGCCATATCCGCTACGCTGCGTGATTACGACCTTGAAAATAATGAACAGAACTTAATTCCCGACTGTTTGATTGAATCAGCACAAAGATTCTCACCGATAATTATTCACGATTTTACTGAAATGCTTTATTTTTCCTTCTTACCGTTGGAATAGTACTTCTTAGCAATGGGACCAAAAGTGGTCCCATTAAAGTTAGATGTTCCGAAGAACCGAACAAAACAAAACAAACGTCCAAAACAGTGCCCCTACGTCATCTCTGACCGCCTCACGTCAGGGCCAATAGACTGGTGTAGCTTTATTGCTGAAGGGGCCGTAGCGCGTATCAATTGCAAGGCTGCAAACTTCAGCCTGCTAAGCCAAACCCCAGCACGCCATCGCGCTCCCGCCCCGCCCCGCCCCGCCCCGCCCCACGCAGACGCAGGCCCCGTCCCCACGCATGCCCCGCCTCCGGCGCGTCCTGAGACCCTTCCGGCGCGATTCGGCAGCCTCACGTCAGAGATGTGCGCGCGTCGCTGCGCGCTACGTATTTTCCTGGGCGGGAACAGTAAAATGGCGCCAGAACTAGTGGCGGGCTGAGCACGCTGGGCTATTCGAAGCCGGCCCTGCGGTCCCCGGGCCGACCCGGCGCCTCCCGGACATGGAGGACGTGGAGGCGCGCTTCGCTCACCTCCTGCAGCCCATCCGCGACCTCACCAAGAACTGGGAGGTGGATGTGGCGGCCCAGCTGGGCGAATATCTGGAGGAGGTGAGGGCGGCCCCCGGGGAGTGGCGCGGGGCGGGGGCTGCCGGGGGCCCCGCCGCCTCCTGGTGTGTATCCATCTGGCGCTCTGATCGCACTCATCCTCAGGCTCGTTTCTTTTTTCCCAGCCTCGTCTCTGCCCCTCGAAATCATCCTTTATTAGATTAGCCTGGAGCTGTCCTTACAGCTCCTGTAAACTACCCGTTAGTGAGCCTTGAAATCGACTTAGTGAGTGGCGACCAGCAATTTTCTCTGATAGAGTAGAATACGATTTGTGTGCATGTATGGGTGTGTGAGAGGTCTGGATCACGATGTAAGAGGGATATCTTATGTTAGATTTTCAAACCAGTTTCAAGCGACTGCCATGTTCCATCTCGTCAGCATTTAATCTTTTTTCAGTATTTGACAGCTGTGTCTAGACGTCGTTAAGGAGCTGTCCGCTCCATTTCTGCACTTCACTTTCACTCCTTAGCCCGCTTGGACTGCTCTTGTCTTGATCAATAATGATATCCCTCTTACCAAATTCAAGGGTCACCAGAAGTGTCATCTTATTCAACTCAGCAGCATTTGGTGGGTTGAGCACATCCTCTTTTTTGAAACAGGTTTTGGTGTTCTGATTTTCTTCCGATTTCGTTACCTCCTTTTTCTCTCCTATCCAGTCTCAGTGTTGAGCTCCTCAGGGTATGGCCTGAGCCATCTTTTTACACATTTCCCCTAAACCATTTCATTTATTTCCATGATTTTAAGTATCACTTGTATGAGAACCACCCCTAGGTTTATTTATTTATTCCCTCCTCCCTCAATTTATATTTCCATTCCAGGTCTTTTTTCTCAATGTTTTGTGTATCCAGCTGCTCATCTTGACATCCCACTTAGATTTCACACAAGCAGCTCAGGTTTAATATATTATAAAAGGGAGCTCTTTGTTTTCCTGCTCGAATCCCAGCCTTCCTGATCTTGGCATATGGCACTACTGTTCAACCAAGGTGAAAGCTAAGAACTATTGAAACCCCACACTCCGCACCAGTTCACCCGTGAATTCTGTCATGCCGCCAGAATTTCACTTCAATTCATCTATTTTCCATTTTCTCTGATCCAGGCCACAATCTGGCTCCCATTCATGCTAAAACCTTCCTTCCTGGCCTCCCTACTGTTGTTTTTGGCCCCATCCAATTCATGCTCCACCCAGCAGCAAGTGTGATGCTTAAAAATTAAAATCAGGCTGCAGCACTGCCCTGCCTGAAACCCCTCAGTGGCTTTCCATTGCTCCCAGAAGAAAATCCACATTTCCTTCTCTGAACCTGGTCCTGCCCACTGTCCTAGCCTTGTGGCAGGCTCTTCTCCACCTGTTCTTGTTTTTTTTTTCTTTTGGGTCCACCTGTTCTTTTGAACCTGTCAGTCGACAACACCCAAGTTCATTCTTCGCTGAGAGTTTATATTTTCTGCACTCAATGGCAAAAATTCTTTGCCTAGTTCTCTTTATGACTAATTCTTTCTCATCCTGTATCTCTCAGTTGAAATATCAGCTGATCACCAGGTCTAAAACAGTTCTGTGTCATAGTACCTTCTGTAATTCAGAATGTTCATCGTAAGCTATTCTCTAACTTGTTTATGGTCTGTTTCCACCCTAGAATGTAAATTCTGTGAGGGCAGGGACTATGTTCATGCTCTCTCCCCTTTGCTTAATACAATGCCTGACACGTAGTAGATGCAGAATAAATGTTTGTGAAATGGACACTTGATCTGACAATTGACCTCTGCTTGGACATAGAGTCTCCTGAGAACATGCAGAGAACTATGCTAGGTGGGGCTGCTGTGGATTCAGGCTTCCACATTGAGCAGGGTGCTTGTGGATGCCTGGGAAACCTACTTGCTTGGTCAGCTCCCCTCCTGCTTCATGTGTCTGCTTTTCCAAACCTTCTCTGCCCCGTGAAGTTCTGATTTCTCTGCCTCTAGTTTTGTCTTTCTCCTTTCACTTTCCACATAGCTACCAGAACATTCTTTCTTTCTTTCTTTTTTTATAAACACATTTTATGTTGCTGTCCTTTTCACAGACTTCCTCTGTCTTTCAGGAATTAGCAGAAGTGGTGCCGTGGTGGCTCCTCTCAGACTCCCCCCTTTGTTGTGCCACCATAGTACCTAATATTTCACCTTATTCCCCAGCACACCCTCTGCTTTGGACATGTTTGCCTAGTACTCATCTTCCTAAGTCGTTGAAACCTGTGTCTGCTAGCTGCCTCTGTGTGGGTGCCTTTGCTTTTCCTAAAATGCCGTTCCCTTCATCTGTCTGGGAGCATCGATCTGTCTTCAGGCGTAGCTCCGTTGTCACCAGCTTGCTCATCAGGCACTTGCTGAGCACCGGTGTCGGGCACTGAGCTGACGGCTGGAATCACCCTAATGTTGGTCACAGTCTACTGGGGGAGGAGAGCCTCGGTGTGACGAGACCACCCCAGCAGTGGTGAGGCCCAAGGCACGCCCTAGGGAGACTGCCGCAGAGGCCGGTCTGAGCGTGCTGGGGCTGGACGTTCCAGGCAGATGGAAAACAAAGGCAAGGAGCTTGAAAACCATGTGGAGGCTTTAGCTGTTCCCTGAGAGGAACAGGGGAGGAGCCGGGTTGTGGGGAAGATCCTGAGTTAAGTATGGAGCTAGAGCTTGGGGACTTCGGATGTCTTGGTGGACATACCTAGTGGGCAGCTATAAACACAGTTCTGCAGCTCAGGAGAGAGAGCTGGTCTAGATGGGTTTGGGGACTGTTGTCATATGGTTGGTGGACACAGATTTAGGGGGTGGTAGGAATTGGGGCTCATGAGGGGCTGTGGGGTTGGTGGTTGCAGAGGAAGGAGGAGGATGTACTTGGAAGTGTTTCCTGACTTTCCTGCTCAAAGGATTGAGACCCCAGCATTTTGTCTCTGTCTCCCCCACCCCTGAGGGTCCTCAGTCCTTCTCTCGGGGTGGGCGTCTTCCTGCTGGAGTCTGGCTGAATTGGCCCCGACTAGGATGGGTGAGGTGTGAGCACCTGCCGAGAGGAGGTGGTGTGTAGCTCTGGCTGTTCGTGGATGATACACTCTAGGGGCCTCCCTCTTCCAAAACACTAGGTCTCAGAGGTTACAGGAAGTAGGGAAGATCACAAAGACCTGTCTTTTGCCTCTAAAAAAATGCACAACCGGTGAGCCCTAAGCAGAGTCAGAGCTGTCATTCTGAGGGGCTGCTTGTGGTGATGGGTACTTTGGGCCAGTGGCACTGGGAGAAGGTGGGGTGGTGGGTGGGCTGCTGGCGAGAAGGGTGCATAGACTTCCCACTGCCCTGCGTTGTGTCTTGCAGCTGGACCAGATCTGCATTTCTTTTGACGAAGGCAAAACCACAATGAACTTCATTGAGGCAGCACTGCTGATCCAGGGCTCCGCTTGTGTCTACAGTAAGAAGGTGGGCCCCTCCTGACTACTGGTCTTGGAGTTGTAGTGTCTCGTGAGACCGAGGTCTGCTGTCCTGCCGGGGCAGGTGGTGGGCTCACCAGCGCCTCCCACCTCCTTCGCCAATTCCTCGCCACCTTTTAACACCGAAGAACAAACTTGGATTTAATAATTGCAGGGTTGGGACTTCCCTGGCCGTCCTGTGGTTAGGACTCCGCGCTTCCAGGGGGCATGGGTTTGATTCCTGGTTGGGGAACTAAGATCCCACATGCCACGCAACATGGCCAAAAAAAAAGAAGAGGAAGAAAAAGAAAGAAAGACATTTTATTGTAAAGAGAAGGAAAGAGATTTGGGCAAATACTAAATCGGTGGCTCTCAACCCAGGCTACACTCCAGTTAATCACCAGTGCCTCGGCCTAACCCAGACTGATTAAATCAGGATCCCCAGGTGGTGGGGTGGAGGGGCAGGCAGGTCGCAGGATTTTCTGAACTACCCTCTGACAACCAGAATTGAAAACCACGGAGCTGGGGTGGCCAGCCGGGTGGGGGCAGGGGAAAGGGGAGCTGGGAGAGGAAAATGGATGAAACAGAGAACCAGAAGAAATAGGTAAGGAATGGGTCAGAAACATGGGCTGATGGGCTTGCCTTGAAAAAAAGAAAAGACAGCTCCTCTCAGGAGACTGCAGGGAGAAATGCTGATGCAGAGAAGGTGGGCTCAACGGTTTGCAGAGTTCACACCTAAGGCCCCAATTTTCACAGTGGAGCATGTAAGTCAGCTACTGAGAATCAGCTACTGGATTGGAAATTTGGAGAGTGAGGTTTGGTGAAAGTTCAAAATATTTGCTGAGGGGAATGCAAAATAAAAGATTAATTGAAAGCATTGGTAGATTCTAATGAAGATTAAATGCTGGAAATTCTCCAGCAGGAGTAGCTGTCCCCTAGTGGAGGAGCGTGGAAGAGTGGACCACAGCACTGGTCCCAAATTGGTGGTTTAGTGGGAGGGGGGGGGAATAAAAAGTGCACAGGAGGTAAGAGTTCAGAAGAAGTGTGTTGAGGAGCTCAGTAATGGGGTCCCAACCAGACAGAGGAGGGGGAGTAACCTACATGCAGGTTAACGGGCGCAGGGTACAGTGGACCTACCTCTGGGCACTGTAAGTTATTAAGATGGTCTGAGATTTAATTGGTTTTTGTCCTAGATGACCCAATTAAATTGGATTCTTTTGTCCTGCATTTGTCCTAAGAAGGAATATCTGCAACTAACTTTGAAAGCACAAAACCTAAGGTGAACTGGTACACAAATACGTAGACGGGTAGATATGTGATAAAGCAGGTGTAGCAGAATGTTAGCACGAAGTCTGGAAGGTGTGAGGGGAGCGTTGGCTGTAGTCAGCGCCGTCCAGCCGCACCTTCCAAGGTGATGGGAACGTTCTATGATCTGTGCTGTCCAAGGCGTGCGGCTCCTGAGCCCTTGAAATGTGGCAGGCGTGACTGAGGCATCTTGTGTTGTAGTAACTTTTACTTACATTTAAATTGATCGCGCCAGCTGCGGCTCACGGCTGCCGTGTTAGTTGGCGCAGCAATGGATTTCTACATCCCTGGCGCAAGTCCTGGACCCGCCACTGACTGAGGTTACTTTGATTCTCTGAGTCTCAGTTTATCTCGCATACAGTGAGAATAGTGATGGCACCTAATTCAGACAGAGTAGATGAGATGAAGCATGAAGCACAGCCCTGTGTATGTGACAAACACTTAAGAAAGTTAATGTTTATTATTCCTGGTGAGTGGGAACCATGCGATCAGGGACCACCATCTGTTTTGCTCACCACTGTCTTCTATTGGGTGCTGTCACCCCAGAGGAAATGGCCCAGGGGCAGCGCGTGTATGTACCCTCCTGGTGGGTGCTTTGTGGTATCTGGAAGATCCCAACCCTCACCCTAACAGTGGGGCCCCACCGGTTGTGGCTGGAGCTGTGACGGGCCGGCAGAGACCCCCAGGTGCTCCTGCAGGTTGGGCACTGATTGGAGCAGCAGGGACGTGGGCTGCAGGCAGGGTGGTTGGTGTGCCAGCAGTGAAGGCAGACAGGGCTGCGTGGGGCACAGGCCGGAGTGCCACAGGGCGGAGGTGGCCACACCTGCCGCGGCATGGTGTGAGGGCGCAGAGCAGGGGTGGGAGCTGCGGCTGTTAGGTAATTCTGGGGAAACATACTAGTTTTGATTGGACAAGTATTTCTGGCAGCCACATTGGCAGGAATTGTGCTGGGGGGTTTGGACAGGACATCTGGGCTTCTCCGTGTACTTGGACGACTAGTTGGAAAGGCTCTGGGGAGGGCCCCTCCTTTCTGCATCCTCACTGCCCGCTTCTGGTTGCCAGGTGGAATATCTCTACTCGCTGGTCTACCAGGCTCTTGATTTCATCTCTGGCAAGAAGTGAGTACTGGAGGTGGGGCCTGCATGCAGCTCGGGAGGCCCCGTGGCCTCCTGTGATGCCCTTGCACTGATTCTCTCTCAGGCGGGCCAAGCAGCTCTCCTGTGAGCGGGAAGACGGGCCCATTGGGGATGCCGGCTCCAGGGCCCCCCAGGAAGTGGAGTATGAGGTGAGGTTTCCTGGGTGCCTGGCATTGCCCCCTGTGCTCGCCAGGCACCCTCCTGAGCTCTCCACTCCCCCGCAGTTCCTGTCATTGGACGACCTCTCGGATTCCCGTGCTAACGTGGATCTGAGGAGTGACCAGGCCCCCAGTGTGAGTGCCCCTGTCCTGCGTTTAGCTGATGGGGGTGTTGGAAGGTGGTGTCATGCCATGTGGGTTCTCATGGTTCTCCCACTCTCGGCCTCTGTTCAGGAGACCCTCATCGTGCCCCTGCTGCCCATGGCCCTGGTAGCCCCTGATGAGATGGAGAAGCATAATAACCCCCTGTACAGGTGCGGCTTAGCCTGGGGAGTGGGGGGTGTGTGTGTGTGCTGGGCAAGGATCACTGCAGCACCCGTGTTTGTGCCAGCACAGCTGTCAGGGGGAGGTCCTGGCCAGCCGGAAGGATTTTAGGATGAATACGTGCACCCCCCACCCCAGAGGAGCCTTCATGTTGGAGCCGGTGGGCATGTCCCCCACGGAGGCACTGCTGCCGAGGAACCAGAAGGGTGAGGGTGAGGGCTTGGATGTTGGTGGGAAGGAAGGGGCCTTGTGCGGGGGAAGCGGGGCTGACCCCTTTCAATCCCCCGTCTTTCCCAGAGGCCTCTGGGAGGGCTGAGGAGCAGCCAGTGGAAGTCTCTGTGCGCAGGAGTCCAGTCCCGCTGCTCAGAGCCTCCCAGGAGCCAGGTGAGGAGAGAGCTGCTGCGTGGAGCTGCAGGGTGGGGTGGGGGGACGGGGCCCTGCACTCATCCGCCCCTGCCTGCCCACCGCTGTGCAGCCTGTGGAGGGGTGAGGCGTGGGGAGCAGGCCTCTGTGCTCAGGGCCCACCTTGGCCAGCCGTGCTGTCTTGGTCCAGTGACCACCCCCTGACCATTCTGGGGCTCTGAGGTTTGGGCCCATCCCCTCCTCTCTGGGCAGACAGAGGTGACAGCATTTAAAGAGAAAAATTACTAAGAAATAAAATGAACCAAACAAAGCAGCAGTATGATGAGTGTAAAACGCCCTGCTGCATTCTCTGGTTCTAACAAACGAATCTGAGAGAGGAGTGGCCTCTCAGGTTCTCCTTGGGGTCGGCCCCTCATCCCGGAGAGGCAGCCCCCCTTCTGCTGTCTGGTCTTCAGGCTCCTTGGGCCTGACTGGTTTCTTCCTTCCCTGCCCAGGCACCACTCCAGAAGGCCCAGTGCCCGGAGGTGGGGGTGAGGAAGAGGATACAGAGTGGGCAGCAGAGCCCCCCGAGGCCTCAGCCCCTGAGGTCCCGATGGAGCCGCAGGAGCCCAGGAGCCCAGAGCAGGTGGGACCCACAGTCCGGCCTGCAAAGCTCTAGCCCTCAGCCCTGGCGGGGACAGTCTCGCTTACACAGGGAAGGCAGTCCCCTGGTCTTTGCTCCCTCTCTGGTCCTTGCACACCAGGGCAGTGGGTGCGTCCCCCAGCCAGCCCTAGACCTGGCCCTGCACCCTGCCCGTTTGGGCCGCAGCTTTCATGTCTCTCCCCTCTCCGAGCAGAGCAGCTGCTGCTCTCAGGGAAGGGCGGCTGGTGTCCAAGAGTCCAAGGCCCACGGTGCTCAGGGTTACTACCCAGAATGGCAGCTGGTCTCCAGAGCTGACTCTCCCAAGGCCAGGCTGGCAGGAGTGGACAGGCCGGCCTCCCTCAGCCCCGAGGGTCAGCTCTGTGCTCCAGCCTAGAACTAAGAAATCTTTTTTTGTAAGAAAAAATCCTGACATATAGGAAAAAATATTAACATTTGTCAATTTTGGCTGGTAGATAACATGGGTATCACATCGTCGTATTCTTTTTTCTGTTTTTTAAAGAAGAAAAAGTACCCCGTGACCAGTTTACTAATTTGTATGTTCTCCTAAAGTTTTTCTTAGAACTTTTGTTTTACTTTTTAGTCATTAAACTATTTGAACTTCCTGCCCCCAGAGAAGGTCCCTGCAGGGTTCTTGGTGTCTAGCCCCGGAGCAGGGCTGCTGGGGTGCCTGGAGCCTTGGGTGGAGGTGGAGAGGGGAACCCTCGGCGTTTTTTTGCAGAGTGCGGCCCAGCCCAGGAGGTGTGCGCTACGGGAGCGAAGGGAGGCCCTGGAGCCTGCGTCCCGGCTGCAGGTGAGGGCTGGGGGGCCTGGATCCCCGGCAGGGAGGGTGTGCCTGAGGCCCCTCGGCGGTGGCTGCCTTTCGAGCAGTCCTCTTCCCCAGAGTCGGACCTCTGTCCTGCAGCCCCAGGGCCTCTCTCCCTGTGTCTCCCGACTGGGGGCAGGGTGCACGTCCTCCACTCTCCTGTGTCTGCTTGTGCTCTGTGCTCAGGAGACCCCAGACCCCTGGCAGGGCCTGGACCCCTTCGACTCCCTGGACTCTAAGCCCTTCAGGAAAGGTAACTGGGGGAGGGGCACTGCCCCTGGGCATCCGGGGCTGGGCTCACCTGGCTTGAGTGGAGGCTGGGGCTCCGGGGCCCGTGGGCACGGTGATCTGCCCTGGGCCACGGTTGTGCTCCGAGACCGTCTGTTTGCCCCCAGGTAGGCCCTACTCTGTGCCCCCCTGTGTGGAGGAGGCTCCAGGACAGAAGCGTAAGAGGAAGGGTGCTGTCAAGCTGCAGGACTTCCACCAGTGGTACCTGGCTGCCTGTGCGTGGGCCTGGGGGCTGGGCCAGGGCCAGAGGGCCCAGGTGTGGCTGTGGGACTTGGCTTGGCGCCTGCTGACCCAGTCCTCTTGCAGATGCTGACCATGCTGACAGCAGGAGGCCCCGGCGAAAGGGCCCTTCCTTTGCAGGTGCGGCCGGGGCCTTGTGGGCTCTTCTGAGGGATGATGGCACCGTGCTCTGCCACCTACCCTCAGCCTGGGGACACTTAGGGCCCTGGGTGGATTCGGGTGGACCTGGGCAGGATGAGGGAGCCCTTCTCACAAGGCTTTCGTGTGCAGACATGGAGGTCCTGTACTGGAGACACGTGAGGGAGCAGCTGGAGACCCTCCGGAAGCTGCGGAGGAGGGAGGCAAGTACTGGCCACCGCCTGGACCCCGCTTGGCCCCTGGTGGGAGATGGCAGTGCCCCTCAGATGCTCTCTTTGTGCAGGCGGCTGAGCGGTGGCTGCCGAGGGCTCAGGAGGAACCGTGGCCCGCGGAGGAGGACCGGCTGGAAGACTCCCTGGAGGATCTGGGAGCGGCAGGTGGGTGCCTACGGGGGGCAGGCTGGGTCGGGGCTCAGCGCCGGCTGTGGGCTAACCTGCCTCCTGCTCGGGTCCTTCCCTCCCAGCAGGTGACTTTCTAGAGCCCGAGGAGTACGCAGAGCCTGAGGGGGCCGAGCCTGGGGAAGACGCAGACCTGGGTAGGTGTGGGAGCGGGCTGCTGGCCAGGGGACCCTGAGGGGAGGAAGGAGAAGGTGAGGCTCACGGCCGCAGCACCTCATGGCTGCCCTTTTCCAGAGGCGGAAGCCATGCCGGCCTCCCTAAGCTACGAGGAGCTGGTCCGAAGGAACGTGGTAGGCCCAGGTCAGAGTGGGTGGGGGAGCCGGGCGGTGGGCCCTGCACAGAGGCGATAGCCCCTGCTCCTCCGCCAGGAGCTCTTCATCGCCACCTCGCAGAAGTTCGTCCAGGAGACAGAGCTGAGCCAGCGCATCAGGGACTGGGAGGACGTCATCCAGCCCCTGCTCCAGGAGCAGGTGAGGTGGGCTGGGCCAGGGCCTCTGGTGGAGAGCTGGAGTGTCCTGCTGCCTGCCTTGGGCCAGCCCCAGGACCTGCCCCTCCCCTTTGCAGGAGCAGCATGTGCCCTTTGACATCCACACTTACGGGGACCAGGTAGTCTCAAGGTTCAGCCAACTCAACCAGTGGTGTCCCTTTGCGGAGTTGGTGGCTGGCCAGCCTGCCTTCGAGGTGTGTCGTTCCATGCTGGCCTCCCTGCAGCTGGTGAGTGGCCTGGAAGCCTGGGAGGGAAGCAGTCCCTGGTCTCTGCTGACGATCTGTCTCTACAGGCTAATGACTACACAGTGGAGATCACCCAGCAGCCTGGGCTAGAGGCGGCGGTGGATACCATGTCCCTGAGACTGCTCACGTACCAGCGGGCCCACAAGCGCTTCCAGACCTATGCTGCCCCCTCCATGGTCCAGCCCTGAGTGGGGAGCACTGAGACCGGGGTTGGGCCCTGGAGCCCTGTCCCCAGCAGGTGCTGGGCATGCATCTGCTCACTCTACTTTGCTTCCTGGCTCGCCCAGCCCAATAAAGTGTTGCCACCCCGCCAATCCCTTTTAAAAACCTTTACAAAACTTCCGTGTGGAGGAAAGGGCTGTCCATCTTCTGCACCCCAGGAAGCTACCACGTCTCCAGCCCCTTTCCTGCCGTGGCCTCCAGGGGCTGCTGGTATAGACCTCAGGCACACACAGCTCCACCACATCCTTTTAATGACCCAGCTCAGTGCAGGACGCTGCGGAAGACAGCCATGTGGCGCCTCACACTGTCTGCGACCTGCTCGGCCGACATGGCCCTGCCGTAGTAGTCTGTGAAGAGGCCGTCAGGGCTGAGCAGGTAGATGGCAATGGAATGGTCCACGATGTAATCCTGGTCCTCGTCCTTGGGGCCGGCACTGTAGTACACGCGGTAGCTGCGGCTCACCTGGGCAACCTGCTCAGCAGAGCCAGTCAGGCCCAACAGCCTGGGGTGGAAGTCCTGCACATAGCGGGCCATGGCCGCCACGTCATCCCGCTCGGGATCCACAGTAATGAAGATGGGCTGCACGGGGGGCAGGCCAGGCTCTGCCTCCAGCTGCCGCACCACCTGCACCAGCTTCTCCAGTTCCTCGGGGCAGATGTCAGGGCAGTGAGTGAAGCCGAAGTACATCAGCACCCACTGGCCCCGGAAGTCAGCTTTGCAGCGAGCCTGGCCCCGGTGATCCAGCAGGCTGAAGTCACCCTGGCCCACAGCAGCTTGGCGCAGGGCGTCTGTCCGTCGTTGCTGCTGCCACCGCTCCTTCTCGGCTCTCATGGCCAGCCAGACCCCACCCAGCCCAGCCCCGATCAAGGCTGTGATCAGCAACCTAGTTCGTAGCCCAGGGCCCTGGGGCTGGTCCTGCCTTCCCGTCTCTGCAGGGCCCTGTCTTGATAGGAGCCGGTGCCTCACATGCTGGGCCTCTCCTCCTGGGGTCCTAGGGAGGGCTGGGGGCTTGAGCTGAAAGAGCCTGTGCCAAGCCTTGGGTGCCTGAGCCAGCAACAGCATGGTCTAACGCTCCTGGAAGAGAGCACGAGTGTCGGGAGCCAGAAGGTGCCTCCGCCTCCCGGGTCGTATCCCATCATTCTGGAGATGCTTGCTGCCATCTGAAGGAGCAGCCCTACACAGGCTCTGCTACCAGCAGCTGCTCACCTGGCGTCAGACCTGCTTCACCTCTGAAACCTCAAACTCCAGCTGAGGTGTCTTCAAGCGTCCACCCCTGTCCCTCCCGTCCTTTAGCCTGAGCGCCTCAGTCTATCGCATCCCACCCAGACCCTGCCCCCGGTCCTGTGCCTGCAGCTCTAACTAGCCCAGCCCCCGCCTGCACCTGAGCGTCTGAGCTGACCAAGAGCATTCCAAGCGCATGCCTTGCCCGGTTTCCTGAGCATATTTATCTGTTTGCAATAAACTCCCATTTCTTGAGAGGAGGTAGGTGAGTCTCTGGCTTCAACCCCCCCCCCGCCCCCCCCCCCCCACCAAGACTGACTCCTCCGGCCCTTTTGCAGCCTCTCCCCTCTGAGGCCGCTACAACCGTGGTGCTTTGGCCCTCAGCCCCGCGGAAATCCTGTGCCACCCGCACCGCAGCCTGCAGCGCCTTCCCCCCCGCCACGAGCCCCTCGCACGTAGAACCTTCCGGCCGGCAGTCACCCTGGAAGAGAAACAAGGTTTCCGCTTGCCTCGAGCCCACTCTCTTCACAGCCGGGTACCCGACAGCAGCTCTGAGCTCGTGGCCCACGCCCTGTTGTTGCTTCCGTGACCTCTGCGCCTTTCTCAGGGCCCTATGGAGGTTTGCTAGGCGGAGGTCTTAGGACCCCCCTCCCCGACGCCTCACCTGTTCAGCTGCTGCTGGGAGGACCCTCTGGAAGACTCCTAAACGTCCGGCCTCCGCCCCGCCCGACGGTTCCTGGGCTGGACGACCTTGGATACACCCCTCAGCCTGTTGACATCAGCTTCTTCCTTTACAAAATGTGTTCTAAGCGGTGCACGAGATGGACCTGCAAACGGAGGCAGCCTGCGAACGTTTCCAGGGCCCCTCTCCGGGAGGCCCCTTTCCTCCAGGAGCCCCGTTCAGGGCGCCCTCCCGGAACGCGCCTCGCGGGCCGGGGTCGGTGCCAGGAGTCTGGGGATGCGACCTGGCAAGCTGCGGAGACCATCCGTCTCGCACCACGCCAGCGCGCATGCGTCAACGGCGCCGCGCTCGCGCACACTGGCATGGAGCTGGCCGGCGCTGGGCCGTGCGCGTGCGCCGAAGGTGGCGGGTCAGCCAGAGGTCACGTGTTGGAGGCGGGGCTTCTCTGCGCCCCCGCCCCCCGCGGCGGCGGCTCCTTGTTCGGCGCTGTAGCTAGTCGCTGGCTCTACCCGCCCTCTCGCTTACGGCCCCGGCATCCGCAGGGCTGCGCGCCTCTTGGGCTTCGTTGCTGCGTGTCGGCCTGCGCGCGCGGTGGGGCGGGGAGTGAGGAGCCGGGCTCAGGAGGGGAGGGCGTCTCTGGGCGTAGGGCTGAGCCAAAGCGGGTGCCCCTTTTCCTGTCCCCTCACCGAGCCTGGTGATGGGTGACCGGGTCCGCAGGCCCGGTGGCCCCAGGCCGTCCAAGCACAGCAGCGCTTCCTCCACTCCAAAGCGTGGCCTACGGCGGGGTTGCTCCTGGCGGTCAGAGCGGCTGCCCCATGCCAACCTGCGGAGACACGGTTCGGCATGGACCCACCCCGCGTCTCGCGTGCAGTCAAACTCCAGCCCCTGATGCACCCTTGGTCGCCAGTTCCCCTGGAGTGAGGGGGCGGGGGAGACGTGAAGCGACAGTGTGCCTGACTTCAGCGGTGGGGGTCAGGAAGTCCTTGTATTCGGCCTGGGCGGGAGGGCCGTGAGGGTTTCCCCAGACCCGAGGCCAGGTCAGCCTTGTTCGGATAAGGTCACTGGGTGGGAGTTGAGGAAGGGGGGCGGGGGGACTGCCAGCGGTGAGGCCGGTCCCGGCAGAGGCAGGGTGAGACAGGGCTGCTGAGGTACTTGAGGACCAAGGCTGCTGGAGTTATGAACAGGAGGTTGGGGCCACGTAAGGAGATCCACGCCAACAGACATGCCACAGCCACATGGGGACCCCTGTGGAGAGGCCACACAGGCTCCAGGCGCTCCGGGGCCTGTCCTGGCTGGGGAGGACTGCGGCCTCTCTGAACTTCCTGCCTACCATCAGAGCAGACAGGCTGTCCTCTGCTTTCTTACTGAGGATGAAGGCTGTGTGGGGGAGGCTAAGGTGATGGAGATCCTCCAGCTTCCTGTGAGATGCGGGGGATGCTGACTCTCGGGTCAGTCATGAGAGGTCAGGGACCCTGAGCATGGAAGGTCAAGTTCCCTATGTGATGGGATGACAGGTGCATCAGTCAGGTCACCTTCTTGAGTGGGTGGTCAGGCATCCTGTGATTGGGACACTGACCGTGGTTTTGGGTCAGATCACCTGTGGTTGTGTGTGTTCATAGGTCAGGGGTCTTTAACATGCAGGAGGTGGACCCCGGAGTCTGGGGTCAGGTCACACGTGATGAGTGGCAGGCTGTCGACAGTGGCCGTCACATCTCTTGCTTCATGCAGGTTTCCGTCTACAGGAACAAGCTTCCTGCTCTGACCCACGATACAGCGGCCCACTTGCCCTGGCAGCCCTTGCATCTGGCCAACCTCCCCTGCATCAGGACTCCCAGTGACCCTCAGTGGCCTCTGATCAGTGATCGCATCACTGACCCTGACCAAGGACTCATCAGCAACCTTGACAAATGTCCAAAATAATGACCAGTGACGTGAACAATTCTGGTAAGTCCTCACTAATGACCCATCAAAGATATGGATCAATGTCCTATGGCCCATTAATGATTGATCAGAGGCCCATCAGTTATTTTGACCAAGTCCCTATTAATGACTCCAATCAAATTTCCGTTGATGATCTTGACCAAAGTCCAATGACCCATGAATAACTGATCAGTATCCTCCCTAGTGACCCTTCAGAGATTCTGGCCAATGTTTCTACCAAACCCAGATCAGTGACCAATCAGTGGCCCGCCTATACATGCTCTGGGCTCTGGGTGACAGGGAATCCATGAATAGACTCTAGTTTACCCAAAGTGCCCCCCCCACGTGCCCCAGACCACGTCTGCTGACTATTGGTACATGCTAGGCAAGGATGCTGTTCACCTGCACAGTCACCTCCCCACGCCCACATTTTTCCTCACCTTCCTTGGTTAGGACTCAGCTGGAGTTAAGTATTTACTGAGCAGTGTAGTGGGTGTCCAGCTGGAGAGGGAATGGAAAATAAATTGTCCTGGTTTGGGATGGGGGGTGTCAGTGGGGGGAGGAGGCTGGTACCTATTGCTGGGGGTACAAGTCTGGGGGCTGGAGGGAGAGCAGCTCTTCCCTTGGGAACCGAAGGGGAAGGGGCAGCTGGATGATTTGGTCCTGTTATTGGGGGCTGATGGGAAGGGAGATCCAAGTTCTGTCCTGGGGCTGAGAAGCCTGGGTCCTGCCTTTGGGGGCTCTGTCTGGGTCAGGCATGAGGTTAGGAGCTGCCTGTGGCTGCTGGCCTTTTTTTTTTTTTTTTTTTTTTTTTTTTTTTTTTTCGTGTGCTGATTATATTTTGTCTAGCTGAGAGTTCAGAAAAAGCTTTTCCATGTGAGGCAACGTTTGGGCTCATCCTGCTTTATTTAGCTCTCCTTGTTCAATCTCACTTAGTGACTGAGATGAAAGCTATTCCAATAACTACCAGAGGGGATGAGATGATGCTAGCAAATAACTATGAAAAACAGAAGAAAATATTTTAGCCTATTTCTCGGGATCCTCCCGAAACGGGGCACGAACCCGCATCCCCTGCATCGGCAGGCGGACTCTCAACCACTGCGCCACCAGGGAAGCCCCTGCTGGCCTTTTTGAGGTCAGAGGTTCTGGTCTGGAGAGGAGGTGTCTTCTAACCTTGCAGCCACAGGCAGCCAGGGCAGGTGCCAGGACTCTGCCTCAGGGCATATTTGTCCCCAAGGTATTGGCTCCAGGCTTCCGGCCACTCCAGCTGCTGCCCAGACTTGGCCAGGGCCGCGGTCTCCTCCAGATTCATGCTTCGCCAGATGGCCAAGAGCATGGCCCCTCGGCATGGGTAAGGTGGTGTAGACAGCACAAAGGGGGCGTTCCCACAGCAATGGGTTATCCTCAGTGTCAGTGACAGTGGTGGGGCGCTGTGGCGTCCCTGGGGGCAGGCAGTCTCTGGGCCTGACCTCTGGGTCGGGGTCAGGGGCAGCCAGCCGTCCCCACGCACGGATGTGTGCACCCTGCTTGTCCGGTCCAGCACAGCGCGCACGAAGCCTCTGATGTACCCTTGCTTCAGGCTGATCAGCCCCGGCAGCTGCTTGGGCTCTGGCTCCCGCCCCGGGAGAGATCAGCAGGTGCGACAGGGGTAGGTGGGGCCGCCACCACTCCGGGCTGCGACACACATCTGGAACCTGTCGCCGCTCTGTGTCCGTGTCACTGAGGCCAAGTGCCCTTGTCCTGACCCCGTTCTCGTTTCTCTCCCGTGTCCGCCCCTCAGTCCCGTGTCTGTGTCGCCCGTGTGCATGTCTCCGTGTCTGGCTCTCACGTCTCGGTCTCACAACTTGATCCGGGGCCGTACCTGTCCTGCACAGCGGCGCTCGCCGGTCCTCTTTCGGATCCCAACCGGTTTCCGTCCCGTCTTGCGGGAGGCCACAGGGTGGGAACAGTGGGACTGCGCCCCTGGCCGGAGCCGCGGAGGGGCGGGGCCTCCCGACAGGCAGGGTTTTAGGCCAATCGCCGCCTCGGAGGGGCAGGACGACCGGCTCACTTCTGTCCTGGCCAATCACGAGGGCCTGCGGGAGCTTGAGAAGTCCGGGACTTCGCGGGCCCGCCCACCTGTCTGTTTTGCCGGCCCGCCTCGCCGCAAGCACAGAGAGGCCGACAGGCTGCTGGCTCCAGAGGTTTTAAGAAACATTCGTGGGGCCGCGCCCGCCCGGCTGGTCAGTCATCCACGTCGATCACCATCGGGGCCAGGTAGTCCGAGTGCCGGATCCCGAAGCTCCAGCCGCGGGGCTTCCGGTGCTGCGGACCCAGGAGACGTCGCTGGCCTGGCGCTGCCGGCCGGCCCAGGGCTCCCGGGTCCCAACCTCGCACCTCAGACCCTCGATACAGACCCGGACCCCTTTACCCCGCCTCTGACCCTTGACCCTGAACTGCAGAGCACCTGGTCCACGTTGTAGGCCGCAGGCCCGGGATTCAGGCTGTTGCCTTGGGGGAGCGAAGTCCGCGCCAGCATCGAGAACTGGGGGGCCCGGGGCTTGTAGATCCCAGGGCTCACCACATGGTAGGCGCAGGGCCCGGGGGTCTGCGGGAGGGCGGGAGGGGCGCTGTGTCCGGCTTCTAGGACCGTCGACCGTTGACCCCTCGCCGCGCGGTGCGGGCAGCCCCTTCCCCACCTTACTGAGGTCCTCGCAGAAGCTGCCCACCGCGCTGCGGCCGTAGATGGAGTAAATCGGCGCCGAGACTTTACCAACGACGCGCGGGCCCAGGAGCGAGGGCACAGTGTAGGTCCCGGGGCCTGGGGGAGCCAGCGAGGGTGGGTCTTTGAGGACCGGCCGGTCTCCCCGCCGCAGCCAGTGCAGGGTGGGCCTTCCTGGGCTCACCTGGGGTCTGCGACTCTGCGCGGAGGCCCCAGTTTCGGGGAGCGATGGTGTGCCGAGGCGCGCTGGGGTACGCCGCGTTCCCCGCTCGCTCCGGGAAGTACCTGCCTGCGGGGCGGACCGGGCTGTGGGCCGGAGCTGCACTGGGGGCCTGGTGGGTGCCCGGGCTGGAGTCCAGGGATTAGGGGGAATTCGAACCACGATTTATCGAAGCCCGGTGAGGCTTGGAGCTCTTTTGAGATCCGGAGATAGGGGGACCGAATTTGGAGTGTTAGGGTGCCCGAGGGGGACTCGGGCTCGGGGGGGGGGGGG